TTAAGTACAATAAGTATGTGTTTGTGTCTGTGTTTTAATACATTCATTAATTATTACCCCATTTATTAAGTCTCATCACATCATCCGATATTAGAGACCAGTCCAAGAGTAGAGCACCCGATGGCAGACAACAAATGCAAGCATTCACTACAACTGAGCCATCACTGCCCACAATCAGCACCACTTCCAGTCCCGACAACCAATTGATTGACAATAAACGGCATAAGTATGTAATAAATATCTATATTTTATGAATTAATTTATATTTTGTTTATCACTCAAGTGTTTTGGACTCTGATATCGAACTCATTGGTAGAGTTCCGGCGCCCAAACGGCCCGCACGTAACCGATCGGCCGTTGATATCAAGCCATCGCTCATAGACTCCATACCTCTGGTGCCGGAAATAGTCAACAAGTATTGTCACAACTCTTATAGTATTTGTATTGTAATAGTGTTTACGTTAAACAGACCGCCCGTAGAGACCATTACACTAATAGATGCCATACCTCTGGTGCCAGAAATAGTCAACCGATCGCCGATTGACATAAAGCCAGTGATAAACATCAGATTTCAGGAGTCGTCAATTGTCCATAAGTAGTGTTATAACAGTTATAATAATTAATGTTATAATATGGCATCGAAATAACTTTTCGGAAATTGGTTAGAACGTAATTTGTTGATCAAATTTAGCCGACAATTTTCAAATGATGATTTTATTTGAAAGAGTATTTATTGAGTGACAAAATAATGGCATTCATTTGTCTGTATGTCTTGTGGTTCCGAAGTAATCCTCTCCCGAAGAAGTCCACTCCCGAAATAGCTTTGGCAATGTTATCCAATGGCTATCATTATATTCAACAAATAAATGTGATGAAATTTTTTAATTGGCTGGATCAATTGATAAAATTTTTATCAAATTGTTATTTTCTTTATCTAATCTTTGTAACAAAATACTTTACGGCATTTGATTATCTCTTTTTAAAAAAGTGCCATGGTCATTGTGCCAAAGCTATTTCGGGAGTGGACTTCTTCGGGAGAGGATTACTTCGGAACCACAAGACATACAGACAAATGAATGCCATTATTTTGTCACTCAATAAATACTCTTTCAAATCAAATCATCATTTGAAAATTTTCGGCT